TCTTCTACGATTGCTACAAAAAACTGTCAAAGACACAGCTGCCATAAAGAAAAAAAAATGTAATCTACGAAGCCAAACACATGCACAAAACAAAAATAATTGGCCAACGCACGGGCTGCCTATGCGAAGATGTGTTTTTTGCATAGTTCTCCGCTGTTTTTGTCGCTACTGGCATCGGTTTTTCCGGCAAATACTTCTGGCTAAACAAATTAAGACTGACCGTCAGAACTGTCAGGAAACTCCCCCCTTAAAATTTCAGCTTTTAGCTTTCCCGGCTCCCGAGTTAGCAACTTACCCGAAAAAACTTTCACGGATCCGTACGTGGATACCACGCATACTCGGTGTCTGGGCTTGAATTCATTAACACATACTTGGATGAGGACCCTTAAAATTCCAACCCTCTAGCTTCTCAGGTTCCTGAGTTAGCAACCTACCCGAAAAAAACTTTCACGAACTCGCATGTGGGTAATATGCATATCCGGTGTCTGGGTTTGAGCTCACTAACACACACTTGGATGGGAAACATTTCCTTAAAATTTCAATCGTCTCGCTTCTTAGGTTTCCGAGTTAGCAACTTACCCAAAAAAAAAACTTCACTGGCCCGTACGTGGTACCACGCATACCCGGTGGCTAGATCTGAGCTCATCAATACTTACTTGAGCGAAGAACATTCCTTCAAAATTCCAGTCTTCTAGCTTTTCAGATTCTCGAGTTAGCAACTTACCCGAAAACTTTCACGGGCCCGTATGTGGGTATCGCGCATACCCGAGGGCTGATTTTGAGCTCATTAGTACCTGCGTGGACGGGAAATGTCCACTTAAAATTTCAGCTTCCCAGCGTTTCTGGTTCCCGAGTTAGCAGCTCGCCCGCAGAAAACTTTGACGAGCCCGTGCGTGGGTACCACGCCGATAAGAGCGCCCATTCTGGGGATTCATATAGATTAAGTCCCCAAAGTTTCAGCCCTGCAGCTTTTTTAGGTCTTGAGATGAAAAATTGGTGCAGACGCACACACAGACAGACAACCCCTCGTCAATACGTGTTTGCTGTATTGCATGGATGCAAAAAACGCATAAAAGTAGTAACGCGTATCGGAATAACCGTTACGGTCATGCGTTTTGTGCAGTTCCGTCCACCGAATGATTGTCTGTTAATGATTTTCACTGCTTTGCACTTTGGTTTGTGCAAAAAT